ATACAGGGACTAGGTGAGAAAGAGAAGTAGACATAAGGGTTAGAAGGTTAAGATTATGCTCTGTAGCCTAGAGATAAAAATATTTTAAGTCCTCATTGCAAAATGAGGTCATCACAAATGAAATATTATGGAGAGTGGAGAGTGGAATTGCGCAATTGAATCTAGTTTTGTGCCCCAATTACAGACACAGGTCTTTCACAATGAAGATGACATCCATGTTTCCAATTCCAACCCTCAGGGGAGCCTAACAATAGGCTGAGTGAATATATCACAACATTTTCTTTCCCTGAAAATGTGAATGTTTATATCTTTTGTAGCTTCAACTCAATCTCCCATCCTTTTGAGCATATCTGTCTTCTTGGAGCTGTGTAAGATGCATCTGAGAAGCCTCCTACTTAGCAGAATTAATATTGATTTGTAGGATACCTCTGTCACTTAAGCAAAATAATAATAATTTGTGTTCACATAGCACTTTACAGTTTACAAGGAGATTTCATTACTCTAGCTCTTAAGGTGGATGATGCAAGGGTTTTTGTGTAAAATCAGTTACTAATGCAGAGTCATTCTGAAGTGACCCCATGTTTTAACCTTTCTTTATTTTGGGTAGGTGCAGCTCATCTGCAGAGTAGCATCTTGTATGAGAGGGTAGTAGGTCAGCCAAACTCACAATCTACTCTCTTTGCTGATAATCCCATCTCCTCATAATGTGTACCTGGCAGTCGGCCCCTGAGCATGATCACTTACCACATCTTCTCATTTGAAAAGTGTACCAATCAACATACTTAGAAGGTGGGGTTAAGGTTACATTAGCTCCACATCCTCATTGAAATGTGTATGAATCAGGATTATATTTCCTTCATATGGGAGTGGTTTACTTCTGTCTATAAAAAAGCCCTGGACCTGGAGTCAGGAAAACTCATATTTCTGAGTTCAAATCCAGCCTCTTACTTAACCCTGTTTACCTCAGTTCCTCATCTGTAAAATAAGTTAGAGAAGGACATGGCAAATCACTCTAGTATCCTTGCCAAGAAAACGACTGAAAAACAACAGCAACAATAAAAAAAAGAAAAGCCCTGTCCTACAACTCCTGCTGCCTTGGTGTGTTAATAAAGGCCCAAATACAGGATTTTCCTTTTAACAATATCATCAAAAATAAAAGCAAATATGATCAGCACATCTACCTTTCAATTAGCAGGTCCTTCCCTTTCACACTTAAGGTAAAAACTAGACAGGCAATCATCTACTCTCAGGGTTTTCTTGGCAAATACATTGGAGTGTTTTGCCATTTCTTCTTCAGCTCATTTTACAGATGAGGAAACTGAGGCAAATAGGCCGAAGTGACCTGCCCAGGATCACATAGCTGGGAAAAACTGAGGCCAGATTTGAACTCAGGTGGATGAGTCTTCCTGACTCTAGACCCAACCCTCTATCCACTGAGTTTCCTAGCTGCCTCCTTCCTTATAGCTTGGCACCAAATCCAATGTATTTTGAGACTACTCTATTTTGCCATTCCTAATTCCAAATGTGTTTGCATAATTAGCCCTTTACCTCATAGCCTGGCACCAATCTGAGGCATTATTTAGCCTACTCAATTTTGCCAATGCTAATTATAAATATTTGCATTTTTTTTAACTTCTGGATAAAATAGGTAGACTGACCTGTGACTTCATAAACAGTTATATATGACTTAGTAGATAAATCCAAGGGAGCTGTCTGAGATGCATAGAGATAGTGACTAATCCAAGGTACTGTATTGAATAGGCACCAACAGTGGCATTTGAAGCCAGATCTTCCTTTGATTGCAGGTCTTCTTGATTCCAAACATCATGGTCTATCCACTGGGTAGCTACCTCTAATTCGATTAGAATATCACGCATAAAAATCAGTTGATCTCTTTGGTAAGGATGAGCTTCTTGGTGACCTACCAGTGTCCTATAACTGCTGAATGGTCATCTTCCTAAATGCCAGCTACCTTGCTGAGAGACATCCGTTTCCCCCAGCACCACAATGATGATTTCCCATCTGGCTGCTTTCCATTTTAAGTAGCAGTAAAAGAAATGATTTTAAACAGTGACCATTTGTGTTAAGTTGATCCAGACTAATATTGGAATTCCATACAGAAATCTACAGAAGGACATGAATAATGAATCAGTCATCCGGAAAAATCATTTTGTAAATAAAATGAATTTACATAGCACTTTGTATTTTAAATCGCATTACAACCTTTTTACTGCATTAATTATTCTAAATAACAGTTCATTTCACAACAGAAGAAGGCTATTGAACATATAGAATCTCATTTATCTGGGGGCAATTTGGGTTTAGTCTCATTGGAAGACAGATGGACTCACTAGATGAGTCACCTAAGTCTTTACTAACCCTAAGAGTGTATGATGTGTATTTTCTATCCCTCAAGTTTTCCTCATTTGGGGCCTGGGACTGACATGTCAAAAAAAAATTCCAGGGAGGGTTTTTAGTCCCATATTCTCAAACATTCATCCTGGTGAAAATAGAAAGACTGTGTTGTAGAGGTTGAAACAACATTTCAGTAGCAAAGGGAACTCTCCTGATTTACAGCCTTGCTGTAAATAGGTTGTAAATCCTAATGACCATCTCAGGTGGATTTAATCAGTTCTTTTCCTTCCCTTCATATAACCTTAAAGCTCAACCACTCCCCACTGTTTTTGTTGTTGTTTGTCCTTCATTCTTGAAGAGGACCAATGACACAAGGAAGGTGATGTCTTGCCTTGCAAGTGAATTGGATTGAAGTGAGGCAGGGCTGTGCAAAGTCACTATCCTCACTCTCTCCTATGGAGCCATCTGGGTCCAGTGGCAAGATATAGATGAAGATGACTGTAGATGGCCCTAGATGCAATGGGCGTCGCTAGCCTTTTTAAGCTAAGGTCTTTAGCAGGTCTCAGTTTGTCTGAGGCAATGCCCATTTCATGATTAAGGCTAAGTAAGAAGTAAGGCCAAAAAAAAATTCTGGGAGGGGAGGACCTTCAGGTTTGTGGCCAAAACAGAAACAATTGCTATTTACAGTCTGAGCCATCAAATCCCAAACAATGACCAAGTGAGGCTTGGGCTGGGACCTATTGTTGGCCAATCAGTGAGAGCCAGAGTGATTTGTGTTTAAGGCAAGGTCAAGAAATCATAAATGAAACTACTCTTGTAAGACAGAGAGAGGGAGGGAGGGAGGGAGAGAGAGAGAGAGAGAGAGAGAGAGAATTTTTCTCTTTCTCTGTTGCCAGTTTACTGACATGAACAGTTTTCAACCTCCTCAAATATGACAGCCAGAAAATGAGATCTTTTTTGTCACTGCTTGTGACATTTAATTGCTGATTTGGTCCAATAACTCTTGGAGACTTTCAATTTTAATGTACCAGCATAATAATTATTTGTTTTTCTTCCTCTTGACTATCTCTAATCACTTTATTTCTAACTTGTACAAGGACTGATAAAGGACATGTGCTTCACTAAGAAAATAACAGCTTGTCTTTGGATCATGTTTAGCTAAAGAACAAAAATTTTACAGACAGAAGTTTTCAATCCTGATTTTCTGGGGGTTTTGTGGGGGGGGGGGTTCCTTTTTAGCTGAGGAACGCTTTTGTATTTCATTTTTTTGTTACTTCTGTTCAGTTCTTCCGGACGCAAACTTTTAGTTTTCCATCTCTTAAAATATGAGATATTAAGTTTTAGAGACATATTTAAACTGAGCAATTTATAATAGGTCTCACCCCACTTATTTTCTGTGTTTGTCTATACCCAATTATTAATGCTAATAGCTGGGTAGAGTATCAGTGAAACAAGTATTTTTGCTTAAGATTTTCCACTCTTCCTTTCTTTACTTTTTTGGTTTAGTGTAGAATTATAGTTTGTAAAGGTAAAAGACTTTACAGGCAGTCTGGCTAATTATTTTTAACTTGCCAAATGAGAACACTTTCAAGAGTTCTAAATGGGGAACCAATCCACAGAGCCACGAAAGGAATAATTTGGTGTGATTATTTTTCATCTTGTTATTCCTCTGTTTGAAAAACTCCTTTTGAGTATACTAATCAAGTTGTGAGAGGGAAACGATGCAGTTATTCCTAATTACAGTGTGTTAGTTTCTTTTAATCAGAGTATCAATACCTATGTACTGAAATAGTCAGGCAAACTTCTCAGTGATGGATCAGCTTACACATGAGAAAATAGTTTTCTTTGGTTGCTAGCTCACCATCTATTTCCTCAGTTAATTTACTTGGTCCCTGTTTATCTGCTTGATTTGAGATAATACTTTTGATGAGTAAATGTTCTAGCATTTGATAAATAGCTGATTCAGAATTCAAGGTTTCCTACTTAACTGATGTTTTCATTATTGGACTTAAGTCTACAATGAATGAAATATTTTAAAAATTAATTTGTCACCCACATTTAATGTGAATTAACTTTTCTAAGACACTAGGAGACTGAGACTATTTCCCAAATAAAATTTGGTGTCTTTGAAGAGTTAATGGCAATTTATCTCACATAGATAATCCCTAAACTTCAGGTGGAGGCAGCTAGGTGCCTTAGTGTATAGAGAGCACTGTTCTGGAGTCGGGAAGACCAGAGTTCAAACCCAGCCTCAGACACTTACTAGCTGTGTGACCCTGGGCAAGTCACTTAACTTCTGTTTGCCTTAATCCATTGGAAAAGGAAACAACTAATCATTTCAATATCTTTTTCAAGAAAATTTCATGGACAGTATGGTCCATGGTGTCACAAAGAGTCAAACACAACTAAATAACAACAAAATTCTCTGGCACCATCTGCTACCATAATATCAAATATATAATAGTTTCATATATATATATGTGTGTGTTTGTGTGTGTGTGTACATGATGAGAAGATGCAAAGCAACATGAAGCAAAGATCTGAGTATTCAGCAACTAAATCTATAGCCCCTTCAAAACCCTGTTATTAGAGAAACCAGTTAGCAAGTAATATGATCACATCTTTGCAATGCTATTGTATTCCAGGGGAGCCCTGTCCAGAGAACGGGAGGAGTCCAGGCTCTGTGTCCACCCACCACAGCTCGCCACGAAGTGACTATGCTACGTACACCAACAGCAACCATGCTGCTGCCAACACTAATGCTTCTCCACCTGAAGGCTTTGCGTCCCACAGCCTACAAACCAGCGACGTGGTCATACACCGCAAAGAGAATGAAGGGTTTGGCTTCGTCATTATTAGTTCCTTGAACAGACCAGAGTCCGGGTCTACAATAAGTAAGCAGTCAGTTCTCTTGATTTTTACTTAAGAGTGAAATAGATTAAATAATGTGTTTGCTAAACAAGTGACTGAATGAAATGTGGGTTTGCATGTGAAGAGGGTCAGATCAAGAGGGAAAGAGGAAGAATGGAAGGAAGGAAGGGAGGAAGGAAGGGAAAGGAAAGAGGAAAGGAGAAAGAAGAGGAGAGGAAGGAGAGAGGAGAGGAGGAAGAGAGAGGAAAGGGAGCAGAAGAGAGCAAGTATATGTGTGTGTAAAACAGTCATAGGTGATATCACCCTTCGAAGCTGTAAGCTGTAAGCATCTTCTGCTTCCTCAATCAGTTTCCATTAAGCAACACTGTTTTCTGAGGCTATTCAGGTCTATCCTAAAGACATGTGTCTGTCAAGTAGAATATTCCTGAAGTAATTCCAATAGCTGGTCCAAAAAGCACATTGTAGGCCAGGGAAAGCAGAACAATAGTGGATAAAGTGGTGAGTTGTCTACATTGAAAACTACAAAACAGTGTCTAGGTTAACCACAGCAATGGTTATATATTTGAACAAAGGGCTCATTATATTGGAAGGGACTTGATGGCAAGTAGAAGGGGATAGAGTAAATGGTCCTCCTTTTATGCATGAACTGAGAAGTTTGATAATTCCTAATGTAGATGCAAGTGACAAGACAAATGGAACTGATGTGGCCTAACCATGAAAAAAAAAAAGATTGCCTCCATTCTATCCTTATAAATTTACTCTTTGTTTTAGTTAATGGTTGTGGCACTCAATGTCATATGCATAACTTTTTTAGAGGAAGTAAAGATCAGGTGGTACCAAAGCCATTCAGATTTGAGCAAAAATGAGAACTTGATTATTATAAAATTAACATTATTGGAAAAGTACCAGGCCTAAATGGAGAAGAAAATTGCCTTGCTGAGCAGCACCAATGACAAATGCGTGAATGAAAACCACAGAAGAAACATTCAACCACAGCACATACAGCCAGGGAAAGAAGTCCATAAATCTGAAAGTACAATTTCATTTCTCTTCTTCTTCATGATAAACTGTAGGAATAAATCTGATCTTTACATGCAGATTAAAAGCTGGATTTTTGTCAGTATGATGGAGTCACCAAGATTAAAAGGACACAAGACTAAAGATCCCCATGAATTATATAAACACCCCACCAATAATTTAGTCTTGTCGAGATATTCACAGGAAACTTTAACAGCCATTCCTTTCAGATGTTTATTTGGCAGAGACAAATCTAAATCAAAAGCACGGTATAAACAAGGCTAGTGAAGGGCTCTTACCATCATGTTCATCGGGGAAAGGTGGCAATAACTAATGAAATTAAAGAAGAAAAAGGATTAGATCCAAAATAGAAAGCGTACTAGTATCACAAAAGTGTTAAATATGGCATCCAATGGTGCATTTTTACCCAGGTTGTCATTTGGATCCATTTCTAAATAGAAATAATAGAAATGTGAGTAAATTCATTGCAAACTGATGCAATAAAAACCTTTCTACTGGTAAAGCATTCATGGATTAGATATGGAAAGGAATAGGTCTGCATTCTCCAACATGTAGCCTTCCAAATAGCACTTGATCATTTCTTTTCAGCAGTGTTAACCAGAACTTGAAAGAACAAGGTTAAACTCTTCTAAAATGAGTGTCATTTTCTGTGTCACCTGTGAGGAGGAAAACATCCTCCTGGAGTTCAAAAGGATGCATCTTGTCTACCTTTTCCTCCCTGTTTCATTTTTTTTCATGATTAAGGACTCTGAACTATTCATTGCCCTTTGCTCCCCAGGAAAAGCAAAGACCGTACCAATAACACTTAGATTTTGTAGTTTATAATCAGCAACATGCCCATAAAAAGTTCCAAAGACTAATGAATGTTCTTTTGGAGGCTGTGTTTAACACTGAACCTCTATAATAATCTTGAACTCTAATTTTAAAGAGTAATGCTAAGTGCTTCATGAATGTTAAAGTATCTATTTGGTTCCACAGAGCCTTCATCAAAAATATCAAGGGTCCTTGTATTCCACAACAACATGAAACATAGAAGCTGGCAACTCCAGAATTGCAACCATTTCTCAGGAGGTTCAGCCTTTTTCTTAACACAGCCCAGGAGACATTACACATTTAATGTTGTTTTCTTGCCTGCAAAGTCCATTTTCTTCCAGGATGACAAGCAAAGCTTAATTCGTGTCCTTCCAAGGAATGTAACATTACTTCTAGACCACCATACCTGTTAGGAATAAGATCAACGTATACCCAACCACTCAATCTTTTGTACTGTTCTCTATACACCACTGGGAGTCAATTAAATTGACCATTAGTCAACATCATCCACTCTCTCAGGGCAGTTAAACTCCAGATGCTGACAAAGGCCACGGTCCCATCCCTATGTGTCAGCCTTTGGGAGAATTTTCAATAGCAGAAGTTACCTGTCTCTTTCCCAACTACCCCTTTGTCTGTAGCATGAGGGGACACCTCCAGTGAGACAGAGTAGCCACAGCACTGTCTCACCTTACTTCTTCCTACTACTATAATGCGGTTTAGCACTCACGGTATGGCTCCCAAAAGTTGACCACATAGTGAAATAAAATCATAAAATCATAAAAAATATATATAAGCCTTGTCTTACAGGTCTTAACTGGAACCGGACTCCCCTTTACAACATTTGTAACAGGACAGAGGATTCACCATCTACTAAGGCAATCTATTGAATGCTTGTACATTTTTAATTACTATGAAGTTCTTCCTTATGTTAAACCAAAATCTGACTTCGTGTAACTTAGAATGATTTATTCATTCCACCAGTCAACACAAATCTGTTGAGTACCTACTATGAGAAGAACACTGTGCTGGGTGTTAGAGAAATTAAAAATTTTAATGTGAAATAAGCTCCTTGCAGAGCTTGCAGTCTCTGGGTGGAATGAGGAAAAGAAACAAAGCAGGTAACTATAATAAGCATTTTATCTTAAGTGTATTAGAAGTGCATAACATGTGAAGTCTAAGTGAGGAGGTCATTACAGAGGAGTGTAGACATGCCCTCGGGTCCCAGAATTGAAAAAAGACCTTAAAAGTCTTGTACTCCAACTCTATCCTGAAGCATAAATTTCTTGTATAACTAAAACAATAACTTACTATCTGCCAGGCACTGTGCTAAGTGCTTTAAAAAATATTGTTTTATCTGGTCCTTATAACATGTAGGTGCTACTATGATCGCCATTTTATGGTTGAAGAAACTGAGGGAAAGAGAAGTTAAGGGCCTTACCCCAAGGTCACACAGCCTGTAAGAGTCTGAAACCAGATTTGAACTCTAGTCTTCCTGACTCCAAGCCAGGTGCTCCATCCACTAGTTTCCCATACTAAGAAATTCACATACCAGGCTCAAGGTTTTGAAATTGACATAAAGCCTTGTTTCACTGCAAGCCATTCTTTCTCTAGTATATAAAAATATAGCTATTTTATATGTATATAGAGATAGATGTATATGCACACATACATATACATACTTATGTATTGTATATGGGTATGTGTGTGACAACTCCAGTATATCTGTATATACATGTACATGTATAAACATACATATATGTGTCTATGTATTTATATCAGGGAAGAAGAATGAGCCAGAGAACCTGTATTTAAAAGTCCCCTTCCAGATGGCTATAGGGAGAGCTGATAAGCCTCATCACCAAAGGCATCAACTCTACCCAGGGAAATGAGGCATGAAAGGCTACTGGCAATAGATGAGAACTAGGTTTTCTTTTTTTTAATTTATTTATTTTTAATTTTCAGCATTCACTTCCACAAGATTTTGTGTTCGAAATTTTCTCCCCATCTCTCCCCTCTCCCCACCCCAAGATGGCATGCATTTTGAATATCCCTTCCCCTGATCTGCCCTCCCTTCTATCACCCCCCCCCTTATCCCCTTCTCCTTCTATTTTCCTGTAGAGCAGGATAGATTTCTATACCCCATGGCCTGAATATCTTATTTCCCAGTTGGATGTAAAAACAATTTTTAACATTTATTTTTAAAACTTTGGGCTCCAAATTCTCTCCCTTCCTCCCTGCCCACCCACCCTCATTGAGAAGGCAAGCAACTTGATACAGGTTATACATGTAAGTCATGCAAAACACTTCCATGACAGCCATGAGAGAACTAGGTTATCTGGACAGCTAAGAAGTTGCATTACTGTGGCATTTTCAGAAAAACAACTATAAGAATTATTTACCCACATGAAACCACTGGGGCACGAAAAGGAAAGCCAAGTAATTGTCTCTAGGGACACCTCCCCATACCACATATTACCAGCCGAACCTGGCACTTTGTCCCCAGAGGACTAACTATTCTCTCTTTTCAATTTTTTTTGACAGTAATGAAAGCTTTTGAACAGAAGTAAAGCAAATTAAATAAAAGAATAAAAAGCCAAAACAACTCAGGAGTCAGGTTCTGAATTCATTCAAAATTGGATATTTATTAATATGCCTACTAACAACTCACAGCACTTTAAAGTTTATTCAGGACTTTCCTTATGTCAGAGTCAGCATGATGCAATAGGTAGAAAGGTACACTGAGCCATGAAATCCTGGATTCAAGTCCTTCCTCCAACCCACACTGGCTGTGTGACCCTGGGCAAATCACTTAACCCCTCAGTGCCCTAGACAACTCTCTAAGACTTTACATTGCGAAAAAAGTTCCAACCTGAATTAATAAAAGTACTTTCCAGGAGCTCCCTTTACCAGAAACATCACAGGGTTAATCTCTATCCCTATCCCTTCCTGAGAATGTCCCTTCTGTAGGAAGCCTTTCCTGATCTCCTTCAATTCTAGTACCTTCCCTCTGTCAATAATCCCCAATTTATCCTTCATCTAATTTGTTTGTAAATAGATGGTGATACGTTATCTCCTGCTTTACAGAGTGACCTCCTTGAAAGCAAGAACTACTGATCTTTTGCCTTACTTTGTATCTGTAATGCTTAGCACAGTGTATGGCCTATAGTAGGTG